AAAATGTAAGGAGCAATTTTCTCACCTTGTTCCTTTTTCAAAATACTTCTAATGGTGCTGTAATTCTTGGGTTCCATAGTAGATCTGATATAAATGAGTTTCATATTAACTATTTTTATATAGAGGTGATTCTATATATCACTTAAGATAACAAATGGGATATTATAAAACTGTTAACGATCACATTACAAATGACTAAATTTTGATCCCTGAAATCTTTGGTAATAAATACTAATTATAATGTTCACTTTGTCTGGTTTTGTTGCAGCATGCCCCATATAATTTTTCTTATTTTTCACTAAATATTTTATATTCAACCACATTTGAGATTTCTATAGATTATATTATAAAGTTTAATTAGGAAAATTTCATAAAAAAACTGAATTAAAAAATATTAAAATTAATAGTTTTATAATGTTTATCTTTCGCGACAAGAGAATTTTGTAAAAAAAAATTATGGGTAACACGGATCTGCAAAAATCAACTATTTTGCAAACCACAATAATTTTATAAAAAAAAAATGGAACCATTTTAGTTTCTTTTTTACCAGTTTCAGCTATAAACATATTTACTGCAATTTATAAATGGGTAGAGTCTGGTGAATGGACAGGAGATTATAATAAAGAGAGGAGAAATTTTATTAAGATGTTGAATCATTCGTTAAATATTATAGATGTAAATGATAATGAAAGATTAGAGAAGCTCCATGGGTTCAGAACCAGCAATGAATTAAATCAGTGTGTAAGTTTCTAAAATTTATGAGATTATTAGAATAAATCAGATATGATGAAATAATTGGTTTTCTTGTGGGAGTATGATGAAATACACATCTGAGAGGATATAATAAAATATAATGTTACATATTTCATAACTTCCTATCACCTAGGTAGATAACATGTAGGGTGGTACTGGGTAGTGAATGGACCTCGCCTTGTACTATTAATAAATAGTGTAGGACGTGGGCAGTAGCTACTCATGTACGTAAAAACACCATATGTGGATTCTACTAAGGTTATATCTTACAGTGCGGATCATCTATACTCAAAAGTTAAAATTTTTGAAATATTATGTGATCCACACATTAGATTTTAAAAAACTTGCCACCATTCAATTCAGCTTTAAAAGGAGAGTCTATTAATATATATAAAAAATTTGTCTCAAATTTTCTTTTCATAGGTTTTTTAAATTTGAAAGTTATGCTCAGAAGTGCAACAATAATTTTTGTGTTACAATATTTTGAATCTCACGACCAAA